TCAAATAGATTTGTCAAGGCAAACCTCCCATCCCGGGACCGAGCAAAGGCAACAGTGATGGGGGGCAGGACTGCTGGGTGAGATTAGACTCCAGGGCTCACAAAGTCCTTTCAGAAGTCAGCACCAGCGCGCGCTGATCTCCACAAACACCTCGAGGTGGACCCATCTCCGCATCTGCGTATTCTCGCCCACTCCTCTGCTAACTGCCAAAAAACTCAATAATCTCAGAGGAATCCTTTCAGAACTGCACAGAGATGGACGTCTTTCAATGCTCATGAAACGAGCCACAGAGCACCTGTGACCACAATTACTGTCCGCTTTATAACACTGTGTACCTTTTTAAAATGGCGTAATTATCTCTACTAAGGAGAATGATTTAAAGTTTCTCCCATTTATGAAAGCAACAATTTAGCTACAGTGGCTGGGGTTATGCATTTGTATCAAGGACACGGGAAAGTTACTTTCATAAGTAAATTTCATAAGGATTTAAACTTCCAGTCTGCTAGTGCCAAAGTCCAGTTTTCAGTGCACTACATCGAGCACATTTCTGCCCGGTGATGGAGGCTTTGGAATGGATGATAATCGGCATAAATCATGAAACCATATGGCTGTGGAGGCTGCGAGTCCTACTGGGGAACAGGTTGATGAGGCCTAGCAGGACGCTAACAGCTATGCTAATCGCTGTGTACGAACGTAAACGCTTCGCGGGTGCTTTGGCATCTAAGCGCACCCTTACCTGGGCTCTAGCTGCTGTCCTCCTCCTGATTAGAAAGGCCATCTTTCTGGTTCCCTGACCTGCGCAGCGCAGTCAGTCATTTTCTATTGGCATTTGTGAATTTGCTTCTGGTGAATAAACCCGAAATTTCTAATGCATTCACATTTGGCCTCACTAAAACAAAACTTTCACTTTGTTTTTTTCTGCCAGTTATATATATAGACCCCCTCCCTAAATTGTCCCATTAATCCCTTGCCCTGTAGTCTGTACCAAAACAGGAAAAATTTGACAAAATTCTGGCTCGCGGCCAGCCTCCAAGTCAGTTCTACCCTGTCCCTGTGGGTGACTAATTCGTTTTAGCACTAAGTGTAAATTTATCTAATGGACATTAAGGATTCCTGTGACACTCATTATCAAAAGCAACTTTTTAAAGGTTTTACTAGTCATTACTGGTCATTTGTTACAGTGCAGGATGTTTATCTTAACTGCTGGACTTACGTGTGACCATAAGGCCTGTTTCTGAGGCTGATTCTGGGCTGCTGTCCTCTCACAGGTGTTCATGCTCTACATGCGCTCAGTCCCATCCTACAGCTTTCATTTCTTTGTGCAAAAGCCAACCCAGGTGCAAGTTTGATCTGGATTCGCAGTCACACATTAGTACTTCACAAGGCCATAGAGAGGCAGGGAGGGTTCTTCACCATGTTTGTGTCACGCCCGTGTCTCTTTGACGTCACCTCTTTACCACCTGACCCTTGTCTCCATGTTGCTCCATGCTCCAGGCTCAGAAATGCATGGATGACCTTAAAACCATCTCCACATTCATATCTTCCAGATGACACATCTAGCCAGGCAAAAGTAAGTGTAAGTCAGTCCAGCACTGGACCTGGCACGATTAAACGGTAATAAAGACGTAAAAATGAACACGGACGTAGACTTTCACATTTCACAAGTCACCGCATAATGATTATCCATTCATGGCCTTTAATTACCTGGACAGAATCGATTTTGAAGAATTAAACAATTAAGGGACCAGGCCTCATCTATCGGTCGACCATAACGTGTTCACAAGCGCTCCGTGCGGCCCCACGTCAACCGGAAGAACACCGGATTCGTCTTTGTCTGGAGACCGTGGCGTAGGAGGACACGGGAGAATTAAGGTTAATGAGAAGACATCTCCTCTATTATCCTTCATGGGAGTGGAGGAGGAAGGTTATTACAGATTTATTGTTCTGGGTAATCATCACAAATAGAAATCACTCAGCATTCCAGTCATGAGCAGCTTCCCACCAGCTCTCCAGTGAATCAGAAACTGAAGCAGGAGGCCACGTCAACCTTGAATGCCAACATTCATGGCAAAGCCCTCAAAATTTTTTTTTAAAAAAGCTTAAAAATATTATATACAATGGACAAGCCATGGGTGACGTCACAAATGCATTCAATATGTGTATTTCTAACTTTCGGCAAGAACCTGCTTTGTAAAAGCGGTTTACATTTGAATTGATCATCAGTGGTGTTAATGTATGAAGATGTAAAACTGAGGTTACAGAAAAAGGGCAGAAACTAAATCAAATGCCCACCAGCTGACTAGCAGTGGAAAGAAAACAAATTAGCTTTGTTAATCATTGACTCTCCAACAAGAGGCATCACACTCCATCTCTTTCTGTGTCCCTGAGAATGGAACAGAACTCTCTGCGGACAAGAGCAGCCTGCTTGATATAAAAGACAGTTTTCTTCTGTGATATCATTCCATTAGGCTGCAAGAAAGGAAAATCCCCGCTGGCTAGCACCAGAATAACTCATCAGAATGTGTTTATATAAAGTGGCCAATCAGTTCCAAATTATTAACAACGCTTTACAAAACTGGGGACCTATCTGAGCTCTCAGAAACCGCTCTTACAGGCAACATAATATGGATTCGTGGCTTTCAATACTGCTGCTTCTGTATCCGTGTTGACCTGTTTAAATGCTGTTTGGTAGCTTGCTTCATAACCACAAACCTGTGTCTTGTATTTCCTGTGTGAATCGGTCCTGCACTGTCTGCAGCAGAAGCTGCCCAGACCATCTGAAGATGAAGAGGGGAGGGATGAGCCGGTGACGAGCTATTAGCGGCCGTTTGCTTTGTACTGGATTACAGCCCAGCGTCGCTGCACACCACAATCTCCGCAGGCATTTAAATACATCATTTAGAGCCTGTAAAATTAAAGTAGGAGTGTGCGGAGATAAATGGATCCTATTAAGGCGCTAAAGGCTAATGTATCAATCGGCTGATAAGGCGTTCTCTGGAGGGTCTGCTCGGGAGTGAATGGACAGGAAGGATCACTCCCATGCCTGTGGCCGACTCCTCTTGAAAGACTCTAAACACTTCAGGCTCAAAGGGATCCTAAGAACCATCTTACCTTTTAGCATGAGGAAAGAGAAGGATAACCTGAAGCACGCTGGGCCATGTGACTGCTCCCCGTTCACTCATTGGCTAAGGACTTAAAGGGGGCAGGGCCAATGTAGGATACAAATATGATTGGAACTACTAGTTGTAAATGCCAAATCAATTTTAAATATAGGCAGAACTATTAAAGGAGGATTGATTTTGGATAAATATTAAATATCTTTCTTACGATGGGTTTGTTTTGGAAAAATTCACTTTTCATTTTATGTTTGCCCAAGTCAGCAAGTACTATAAAACTTTGAGGTTGCTTGTTTTTTTTTTATCTGAAAAAGTAGTATGAAGATTTTTTTGCTATTATCATGAAAAGGAAATGGGTGAAATAATATAGAATTATTTGTTTCAGAGCCAAATGACACGTAGAAAGTGACACATTTTCCTTGCTGCTTCTGAACTCTTGTCTATAATCTGAGCATCAGTACGCAGTAACAAATTGCAGAGCTGTACGAACGGAACAATCCCATCCAGAACAGTTGGCTTCGTCTCAAATCAAAGTCTGATTGCTTAGCAGAATATTTGGATAATTACGCTGGAGCAATTCAGACAGTACGAACGGCTTGACAGCAGAACAGCAAATATCCTCGTATGCCGTGAGATGGAAAGCTTCCAGTAAACAGTGTGCTTAGATGATTAAAGGTGTGTCCATTTTTTGCCAGTAAGGTTATTCCTAAACTAAAATGATAAAAAAAAAATATTTGGCAACTTCTGATCCTCTAGCTATTGAAAATAAATGTCACATTTTTGTTCTACCTGTAAGTTCAGATAACAAACATTTTGGGGGGGGGGGGAGGACGCAGTCTCCAATCTTTTTACTGTCTAACCTTATGCTTCTCTCTGATGCAATGTTCCATGTACAGCTTTTGCTAAAAAATTACTTGAATGTCTTTGTCTTAAAGTGGAACTCTGCTTTTCTGTTCTAAGGGTTTAAGGAACGCAGGTTCACAGCACCAAATAAAATGTTTGCTAGAACCCAACTCACTTCTCAGGGTCCCTCTCTCTCCATGATTTTTTGCCAGCATTTGGATTCAAGCACCAGTATGGCCTCTGCTTACCCCGTCACAAAGAGCGGGGGCTACCATCACCCCCCCTGTCACAAAGAGCGGGGGCTACCATCACCCCCCCCCCCCCAAGGCTGTTAAAACACAGAGATGCAGCGCAAGTCACAGGATGAGCACGTCTGCTTTTCCACTGCGCTTTGAAGCACCGTTGTGAGCCCTTTGTCTCCCCGCAGGAAGGAAGCTCATTCATCAGTGGGTGCGATCGGGGCCAGTAGCAGCCGGTGTGCCGCACACGCGTGTCGGGGCTTCGGAGCCGCTAAGGTCACAGGGATTTATTGACTCTGTTTGTCCCGGGCCTCCATTTAGCAGCAGGGCCGAGCTGTGATTTATTACTGGGCCGAGAGGAAACAACTTCCTCTTCCTGTTCTGGGGTCCCGCGTGCAGATTAGCCACCGTCCGCGCGTGTGTGTTTGAGGAGCCTCCCGGCCTCAGACTCACGCACCCACCTTGCTGACTGACCAACGGAAACTGGGTGGTGGTGCGGGGGGAGGTCACTTTCTACGGCCACGTCAATTTGGTGGGGGGGGGGGAGGCTTTAGGAAAGGGAAGCAGAGTAAATATTTACTGACGCAGCAGAAATCGAGGAGGCCGACACCTCGGTGGAAACAAAGGCGGGAGGATGCAGAATGGTGTTCCAGGAAGCGGGGAGCGGGCCTGGGGTGGCACCCCCCGGGGTCAACGGAAAAAAAAACCAGAAAGACAAAAGGGGGCCACTCATGTGGGACACCACCCGTTGGCAGTCTCTGTCTCCTTGTTAAGTTAAAAATTGTGTTTTCCTCCCCTTCAGATAAGGAGAACCTCAATAGCGGCAGAACCTGAGTCATGGACTGGCATAGCTGGGCGTCCAGGTAAAAATTCACAATTTCTGAGGGGGGAAATTATACAGAATTGACAGATAGTGAGGATGCCTGAGAGGGGGGCCGGAGACCGTGGTCGACCGCACCTCTGCTTATCGTGTCCCTGACATGCCTTTCTTGTGCTATTAAGCAGCGCCGCCAGAGGAGATAAGGGAACCGGGCCGTGGGTTCATTCCGAGGGGACGCACTCTCCCTTTTTTAAGAGGCACCAGCCCCCCCCGACGTCTCGGAATAAGCCCGGCAGCCCTGATGTCGGGCTAGCGCGTAGCTGGCTGCCACGTGCCTTCCCATGTTCCGGAATGTTCCAGAACAGTCGACAGGAGGCGGAGAAAGAAGCTGTCTGCTCTACGGTCACGTTTATGCCGATGTCTTTTTGCTGTCCGCTTCTTGCAAAAAGTGATTTAATCTTCGATTTAATCTTTAAAACAACATGTGTGCATGTTTTATATGTATAGCTGCCAATCACTTTGTTAGTCATCAGATGGAATATAATCAATGTCAAAAGCAGAAACACATAAATAATAAATGCTTCAAAAAATAAATGTTGAAATTTCTTGTGATCATGACGGTTGGATTCACGGTGATTTCATGAGTCCTTGAGTCAGTCACTCAATATTAATCTGATTACTATGCAAAAAAATATTTAATAGTTGTTTGAGTAAAGATATGAAAAGTATTTTTAAATCTTTTTCTTCAACTTCAATTGTTCACACTAATGTAAGGATTTTACGTTATTGTCTTAATTCCACATAAAAACACACAATTACATATCAATGTTAAATGTTAATAAATGTTAGCAAGTCAAAATCATATTTATGCTAACAAAGTGTGAGTTGATTAATGGCTAGAAAATCACAATAGCAAATATTTAGATAGCTGAATGGACTTGTGCAGAATGGTGAGAGCCGCCCTCACCGCTCTCCCACATTAAGTATTGACCACATAACGTCAGCTCTGGTCTTTGAGCCCTTCGGCGCTGCAATAAAATAGAAACCTAACCTCAATATTTTCTCTCTCTGTTCTGGGACCTGATGGGCCATTAACTCCCCCCTCCCACGTGTCATCTCAAACGTTTCCTCTCTGAAATTTTAGAATAATTAAACATTCTTAATGATTTATAAGATATAATAATAGCCAGGAGTCTTTCAGGGCAGGTTAAACTGACAGCCTTTTAAGGACACTCAGGGGATGACCTCGTCTTTAACACAGTTTTGGATCGTTGACTCCCTGACTGGAAAAGTGAATGAAACCACTCGTATTGCCTTTGTAGAAATCCTCCAATGTCATAACTCAAACCAGAGATGCCGGGAGAGCTCACTGAAGACTGCTACATTTTTAATTAATCGATCCATTCATTAAAAAAAAAAAAAGAAAGAAAAAAGCATTTTTACGCTCAAGGTCAAAACTGGAAGAGGAAGCTAATGTCCATCACGCTGCTTGTGTTTTCGTAACTTTCATCGTTTAAAGGTAAGGATGCTTTGCACAGGTGGCGAATGTTTACTCTCTGCTCTTAGCTCTGTTGGTAAAGGGCTTAAATTCTAACCAACATGATTAGGGGGCGAGTAAATCAGTTCGCCACTAATGACTCTTTCCTCAGAGCCTGTCACTTGAAGGTGTAAGGTTTAGCGATAAACCCAAAGTAAACCAACTTATCCGTGGCTTTATATGCACATAAAAAATGCAATTGTAAGTACTTTAAATATAAAATACATAAACCCATTGCTATGTTTATGTACTTAAAACATTTGTATCCCTAACCATTTATACAAATGATAATATTTAATCAGATCTGCTAATAAAATAATTAATTTTGAGTTAAATATCATATATATATTTGTGTGTGTGTGTAGAAAAATAACTGTTTATAACAATTTATACAAATCTATCTTGTAATGAATTATTTCCATTTTTTCCTAAATACATAATTCTTTACATATTTCAATAATTTGTTGGTTTGAAAAATAATTCCAAAACCAATGCATCAACTGGTTAAAAATGATGATAGAATGGTGTCCCTTGTATTCTGCTCTATATTAGTTTTTATGAATGCTCATTCCCAGTGTTCATCCCTAATGCTTGTCCCACCCCATCCCCCAATGGGATACCCCCTCACTGCACTTTCCGACTTGGTTTTGAGTAATAGAAATAGGCTTCTTGAACGAGCCTTAAAGGCTGCATCACACGAGACGCCAAGCTCAGGTGTGGGCAGACACGCCACGCCACGCCACGCCACGCCACGCCAGCACACTGACCTGCTGTGGCATTGCACTCCCCCAGGGCTATCAAAATGGATTCTTCGGGGAGACCCTTTGTTGGACTTTTTGGTGGCCAGTACATGTCTCCGGGACAGATCCTGCAAAGGGAAAATTGCTAATTAATGTCACAAAGACCTATTTTTCCGGCACTTATCAGAATCCGTCCTCTTCACGTAAGCGTGGTGCCATGGTAAGAGTGCGGGCCGATTCGGCGACGCGCATGCAGCTCCTCGCGTTAGCGCCGGGGCCCAGCTACTGCAACAAACGGCAGAATTAATAAAAGATACGTTGAAATACAAAATTAACTTTCTGTTGCCGACAGCTACGTTTAACTAGAGAGGAGGGGAAAAAAGGAATCCACTTTCAATGCACAGACTGGGATGTCACATGAGTATGATTTGTCCCGAAAATAATAAATAAAAAAAAAATAAAACTTTAAAATTATCATTCGCTAAATATAATTGTGCCACCACAGGCTGTATCTGTGCGATCAGCAGCAGGTGCTGCTTGACGTGATATCATAACTAAAAGACCGATTAATTACTATGATTAAGAAGGAAAATCACACTGGAATAAATCCAAGGAAAGACATTTATAACTAGGGGATTTAAAAAAATAAAAAAACTATGCAGAGGCTTTGAGGTCATACAATATAAATTTTTCTTTAATTTCCCTGTTTTTCTGTTGTTCAAAAACATATTATCAAGCGCGAAGCATTTTCCTCCTTTTGTTAAAAAAAAAAAAATACAAATAAAAAATTTCCATAAAAGTCTAGCCTAATTACTTTCAGGAGTTAAAATGAAGTATATTGCAATCTTGCGACATAATAGTTCTCAAAATGTAATTCAGCAAATAATGACAGAATTAATAATGAGGACAGTAAACAGCCCCCATTAATTAAACAGATTGAAGGATTGATACCGTTTTCCTTCCCTGAGTTTTTATTTATTTATTATTTATTTATTTATTTATTTATTTATTTTCCCGCCACAAAGTGGCCATTGGCATAGGAAACCAAACAGACGACAAATGACTGCGTAAGGCAACAAAAGATAGCTGCTATCTGCCATCTCTTGAGTTTTATTTGCTTATTAATTTACCCCTTTGATTCCGGGCACCTCCTGCACGAAATAAAGTGCGAAGATGAGGCTACTAGCTAATCGCAGAAAAAGGCCCACACCTTCCATTGTTCCCGTTCTTATTATGACGGAACAATGATCATAATGGGGAGCGGGATGGCGGATCACTTATACCTTCCCTGTTTCTGTAATAATGATTATCATATTTATTTTAATATATCACATTATATGGAAGGGCTGTGTCCCTCATTAACTTCACTGGAAATTCGGGGCAAGGAAGAAATATTCTAAATGCAACACAATGTTTTTCCCTCTCTTTTTCAGAATTTATTCCTCGCTGAAATTGTCCTTTAATACATAAGGAACGGGGGGGCAGGAGGAGGGGTTGGGGGGCAGTCCACTGTCAGACGAGCAATCAGAGGTGTCTGATGAATAAGTCTGTGCACCAGGAAACCCCTCGCATATTAGTTCATAAGCGGTGATGAGCGTGATTCTGGATGCAGTGATTTTCTTGTCATCTCAAAGCCACTTCCTTTTGCCACTGCAACTGGTAGAGGAGACCATTAGAATAATACTGATTTTATCATCACCTCCCCCCCCCCACACACACACACACACACACACCTCCCTGACCACCCACTGCATCCACTGTGATCTCCCTATGCCAATCTATCCCCAGTCTACCAACTAAAACAATCAATAGGTGTCATGTAATTAATTTATTTATTAGACGTCAGTTTCAGCAAGTAATGTGCTTCAGCTGCTGCATCTGAAGCACATTTAGTAGCTAATTATTGTTAATATCAGCCGTCCTTGCTATCAGCTTACATTTTTCATGGTTATACTTTTTAAAATATTTTTATGCTCTAAGTATCATTCTTTCTGAGATTCGGGGCTTTGTAAGGAAAATACTCGGCTACATTTATTTTTAAGAACATAAAAGGATCTTTTTAAGTATCTATATAAGAAAACTTAATAACGTGAATTTGGTTTTACCACCTTCCCTCCACTATCATTTAATAGTCCTTAAACAAAAGTAAAATTATAGACTATCACAGGACTAGTCATTTAAACGTATGCAGGTGCACAGATATAAGATGGGATAAGGTTTGGTAGGTGAGCTATAAAGGATAAGCAGTGCCCCCTAGTGTTTGCCTTCATCACAAATGGAACCCATTCATTTCCTCTTCTCAAAAAAAAAAATAAATAATCAAATTAACTTTTATATCAATTAGGATGTGATGTATATTTGAAGGAATGCAGATGAGGCATAAAGTCTGACATAAATTAGACATTGTGCTGTTCCAAATTGCTGATCCATCTTGCGAATACTCAGTTTCAAAGAAGTCTGGGATTGTGGGCCATGCAGACGGTGAATGTTAGACATCATACACAAGTCTGTTGTAAAACCCTGCACTGAGCACCCTGAGATATAAGCTCATTTTCCTGCTCCAAAGGGGGTGGTGTGTGTGTGTGTGTGTGTGTTGGGGGGGGGGGGGGGCTGAATGCTGTTGCTCTGGTTGCGGTGTGCGACGTGTCGGAGGGACACAGGTCATGTGACACCTTGCAGGATTCACTCCGCTCGACTTGTCCCGTGTTGTCAGTCTTTCTCCCCCATTGTTCTGTTTTCGGAGCCGCCTGTTTGGGATCGTGGAATAGGCAGGGGGGGTCACAGGTTTGAATGGGGTGGCACCAGGACCTCATGCTCTAAATCCGTTTTGTTTTCCCCCTCTCCCTTCCTGTAACCCCACCCTGTACACATTTCACAGCACATAAAACCTTAAACAGTCTCATAAAGCGCTTCATCCCCTCCTGGCATTGACTTTCTGGAACTCTCTCTACAAACCAGAAACTCACGTTCGAGGCGCAGGAGCGATACAGACCGAGAACGTCATTCGCGGAACCACATGGCGTGTTTAATGCCTCAGAAGAAAAAAAAAAAAAAAACAACAAGAAATAGATACACACAATTCACTGTAAAGGAAAACTGTGCTCTGTATAAAACTCGCAAACACGATGAAACCATTTTCCCAAAACAGTTTAATTAGAATCCCCTTTTCTACAGGATAGAAAAAGAAACAGTCATATAAGCGTTTTATAGGTGTACTATCATTACAATCATATAAACATTACACAAAGCATGCAGACTGAAGAGAACAGCAGACTCAATGACCTTTGACCTTAGGTAGACTAAGCGCCGGATGCTGG